TTTATAATTTTTAAATAATTAATTATAATTAAAAATATTAATTTATAAATTAAATTAAATATTTTTTTTTAGTTTATTCACTTAATCAAACGAAGATTCTTCTCCTCCGCTTGATTCTTTCAATTCAAACATAACATGAACTATAAAGTGGTGTGATAACCGCACGTCTCATTGAGATTGATAAGTTATTCATCAAATTTGAAAATTAAATTTTTAATTGTTAATATCTAACAATATTAACTTATTAATCATTGTTCTTATAAAAAAAATAAAAAACATAACATTAAGGTAATTGTAGAAAAAACTTATAAAATAAGAAATTGTTGAAGTCTAGTCTAAATGTCTAATACCTAACCTCGGTCGTCGCTAGTGTCACAAAAACGGCGGCCTAAGCTAATTTCATTAGAAAAGGTAAAAGGAAGCCCAAAGGGCCCAAACAATGTAGGCCGAAAAAAAAAAGAACCCAAACCGTAAATAGGTTCCCGGGTCTTGGTCAACGAAGCCGCTCATGGTCACGATGATCTCCATCGTGGTGGCCCCGCTTCCTATCGGAAGTTCTTGGCCGAAGTGCTTCCACTGACAATGATTCTGTGACGTGGGGTCCGGTTGGACACGGAAGAATCATTCTAAATCTTGGAAATTACTCTGCCCTCAACCAGTTATTTCTTGGAGATGCATTGACTCCTATTGACTATTTTAGTACGGCTAGCTGTGTGCCATTTGTTGCATGAAGCACTCGCCGACCAGAAATGAATTCCACAGATCAACCTTCCTGTTCAGTTGGGACTTGGGAGCGACAGCAGGAATGCCTCTGGCTTCGTCAGTGAACTTTAATTACTGAATTGCTGTTAGAATCATCTTTAATTATTGTGTTGTACAAAGAAATTTGGTTGCGGAGGTACAACAATAGTCTTCGGGAAGCTCTTGTTGATCTCTCATGCCACGCAGTGCTTCTATATACTTTCCCATTGTGCATGAAGGGAGAGTAGTGGGCGAATGGCATCGATCTGTGATCCGGCCTCATCTCCAACTGCTAAAGGCATAATAGTTGATGGCTGTCCTGTATATATACTACTAGGTTGATTTGAACACTGACATCAACTTTTTCAGGTTTTAACTTTTTTAGTTCCACATTTACATCATCGAGAATGAAATAACTAGGTTGTAAATCTTGAAGATATTCTTTATTATCATAATTTTAGACTTTAGTGTACTCATCAAAACAAAATTCCCACAATAAAAAGTGTTCTAAACTTACAATTAAATTACATCTCAAGATGCGCTAGTCACAAGTCTGTTTACTTTTCTGCAACTGATCTTGGTGCAGAGGCAACGTATCTGGTAGAAAATCCCCGACGAACAGAGTCCTCGTCATCATCATCACCGACACCATCATCAAAATTCTGAGCATAGCTTAAAGGGTCGTACCTAAATCCTTCAAATGGTCTTGGTTGTCTAGGGGTGAAGACCGCGGTTACGTCGCAACACATATTCGCCTGAGTGTTTTTGCCCCCATTGTTATTCCTTTGCCTTCTGTTTCTCCATGGAAGCTTCAACTTGAGATGACCCCAGCATGAGAGCAAACCTTCTTCATTTGTGTTCCTCGGCGGTGGAGATGCCTTCATAACTTTCGAGATTTTTCTAGGGAAATTTTCTTCTTTGGAAATTAACAGAAAAGTTGTTTGTTCTTTTTAAAAGGTTTTTTGTTTCTGGCGTCTCTTTTTCTGTCCATCATCCCTTGTCTAGGATTCGATGTGTGTGGTAGAGGAGGCCAGGTAGGTGAAGACGCTGAGCCAGTGAGCCGGTAGGAAATGACATTATTTGTCGTTTGCCCGAATTTAGTCAAGTAAAAAGAGTGTATGGAACACCAATTACTTTATTTTGAAGGTAAAGAATTCAATTTTTTAAAAATAAAATTTTGATTTTATATTTTA